ATAGCCACTCCCTAGAATCTCCCAGGGTATACCCACTAGTTGCTGTAGTATAGATTTAGTTTGGCAAGATTCTGTCTATACAGTGTAAGCAAATAAAGGAACTATATTCGACTGGACCGTTTCATTGTTGTTCTTGGGCTGGGCCTGGCAGGTATTGTCTTTGGCCCCTGTTTTAATATGTGATATTTCAGATGCCAGGCAGAAACTAAGAAACTACTGTAAAGGACAGTTATCGTATTAAAAGAAAACTTGGCTGTGCCAAATGATGCTTGCTTGGAAATTAAAGACTGGCCCTTGAAAACACCTCAATATTCTGCATACGACCCATACTAATAACTAATAATACATCTGAAAATGAATGAGATCCTGGTAATTTGGATACCCAGGTGATAATTCTCTGCTGTGACTTGCGTCTTGCTTATAATGTAAGGCTAGCAATACTGGTCAACCTTACAGAATTGTCAGAAGGCTAGCACAGAGAAAATACACGAACCACAAAGCAAAAAGGTTCTCTTCGTAAATTAGGTACAAAAGGTTCTTTTTTATTATTAATAATAATATTAAATATTAGGTTAAAGTCTTAAAAGCTCCTTTCGACCTTAGCCTCCAAACCCACAGGAGTAGTAGGTGAGGACAATTTCTCACGTACATTTCTGGAGGCAAAAGTTTCATGCTCATTCTTTTTATTATTAGTCACAGACACTTATGAAGCACACAGCCAATCCCCGGTCTCGTGACCAAGAGGACCATGAGGGTGAATCCAAAGCCAAGCATCCAAAGACTGATTCGAAGGCACCCCTTACTTTGTCGGTTACCCCGTCTCTATATGATGCCCCTTTTCCTTTTTACCGGCGGCCAGCTGAAATGGGACAGTTTTCCCTAGATGCCAAGCGCGGCTTCCATGGAGATGCTCGTCAGCTGCGTTACTATGCCCCACCCCCTTCTGAAGGCCCCTCCCCTGGATTTGACTTGCGTGATGGCTACCGCGACCGCTACGTGCGGCGGGGTGGGGGCATCCGTGAAGGACTGGAACACCTGCTGAAATGGATTGCACAGAACCGGAAGCAGTTACAGACTGAGGACAAAGGGTGAGAAAGAGTCAGACAAAGGGTTGGATTGGTAGGGTTTTAATTGGCTGCAAGGCTGGAGGTTTCTTCTTGTAAGTAGTTGCTCTATAACTAGATTGGGTTGATTCTGAACACAAGGATAGAGAACCTGTGGATCACACTTGTCCACCTCTCTCCTCAGCCACTGGATTTCCCCCATCAGCAACATTTGGGGAGTTATAGCAGCACAATTTGCAAATAAATATTAGACTATTACATTGAATGAAGCCTCCCAATGCAAAAGAAAAATAATCCCCCCCCCCCGATGTCAGGGCCAAACATAGAGTTTAAAAAATGCCATCTCCCCAGCTGCAAAAATTGGTCTGGCTGGGTTCTAACACAGTCTCGGACATCCGGCAATGGCGTTGCCAATTGTCAGGCACCTGCTGCCCATATTTAACTGCAGGTGCCTGGAACTGAACCAGAGTTGTTCAGTATGCAAAGGCTATGTTTATTCCTGACTTTGGGGTAGGGGTTAAGGCACCAGGCTAGGAAACAGGAGACCACGAGCTCCGCCTTAGAAATGAAGCCAGCTGGATGACCTTGAGCCAGTTCCTCTCTCTCAGCCCTAGGAAGAAGAAGCCACTTCCAAAAATCTTGCTAAGAAAATTCCAGGGACTTGTCCAGGGAGTCCCCAGGAGTGAACACTGACTCAAAGGCACAAAAAAAATGAGCTCCATACCTTGCCTTGGGTCTGTTGGGATTAGACAGACCTGCTTTCTTATCTTATCTTAAAATGGTTGGTTCTTCATAATCTCTCTCTCTCTCTTTCTGTCCTGCAGGCGGCCTCTGAACACTGACTTTGTGACTTGGCGGGGACATCTCACCAAAGTGCTGACCACCCCATATGAGGCTCAGGAGGGGTGGTTGTTCGCTGTCACCCTCTTCCGAGGGACTCTGTACATCAGCGAATTTGAAACGGAGGCTGCCCGCAAACAGCGGGAGCAGCGCTCAGAACTGCTGAAAGAGCTCATGTATATGGGATATAAATTTGAACAATATATGTGTGCTGGTAAGGTTTCCGGAGAGCCCCCGGCTCTGAAATGAAAGCCAGTTCTTGGGGGCCATGCTCAGTTTTTTTTTCAAGTTCCTGAACTGGGCTGGTGGTTGCTCTCTTTTTTGGAGGGTTTGAATCTCTGGGAACAATGCAGACGATGTAGGAGGAGAGCCGTGTTTGTCTATGGTAGCCAAAACTGGAAAAAAGTCTAGGAGTGCCTATGAGGGGTTCTTTGGGGAAATGGTACTGACCCCAACAAGGAGGGTAGTGTTATCTTCCCTGTGTTTTCAGGGAAGGAGATTATTATACAAAATATTGAACAAATGTTGTAATCTTTACTTATTTCTGAATTTCTTATTTAACTCTTACCATGAAATCTGTACAATATATCTATGGATCTCTTCCTACATGTGTTAGTATCTAAATCAGTGTTTCTCAACCTCGGCAACTTTAAGGTGTGTGGAGGCTGGCTGGGGAATTCTGGGAGTTGAAGTCCACACACCTTAAAGTTGCCGAGGTTGAGAAACACTGCTCTAAATCCTAAATATCCCTATTTGTAGTTCTTTTCCTTCTTTGTCTGCCAAATATACTTGGCTGAGCTGTAATGATCTCCTTAACCACCTTGGAGTGAGCTGGCTTTTGCCTTCAGGTGTAATCAGCTCAGCACTGTGGCAACGCGTTGGCTTTGCACAGTCTTTCGGTCAGTGTTGGTGGGGGGGGGAAGGTGTGTTGCCAGCTGCTGGCTGTAGATGGTCAGCGTTTCTGGGGGAAGTGGAAGTAGAACAACTGCCAGGCTGTGCTTGCCCTTTCAGCCCTTTCACTGTAGGGTGGTTGGAATTCACGCCCGCTCTTCTTGCACTATCAGTCGCCAGCTGTGCTGCCCTTTATCCTGGCATCTGCTTTCCTCCTGCACCTCCTTCCCTTCCTGTTCTCCCACAGGGCAAGAGTTTCCTTCTCACACACACATGCACACGCCAAGACTGAGGTGCTAGTGGTGTTTTAAAATTGGGTCCACTGCTCCTCAGGCTACCTTTATATATATTATTCAAATAGATTAATCGTGAGGAATCTTTCTGAATATTAGATTAAAAATGATTTCTTACTATGTAAATGTTTAGATATTAGAGTAAGAAGCGAATACATTTTCTACCTATACCTGTACCAAGGAAAGTTGGAAGCTACCTTCTTTTTCTCATGTTCCTTTTTCTCCCTCCTCTCCTTTTTTTTCTTTTTCTTTTTTTTCTCCCCCCCCCTTTTTCCCTTCTTTTTTTCTTTGATTCTTTTGTATTTTAACTTTTGTGGAAAACTTAATAACGTTTTTTTTAAAAAGTGGGGGAGGAGGGGGTTGAGAGAAAAACAAGAAGGAGGGAGGGAGGAAGGAAGGAAGGAGAGAAAGATACTGACTCCTGCCATGCTGTTGTCCCACAGTACCTGTTAAGACTTGCAAATGTTATGATAAGGCATAAGGTACAGCTCACAAAAGCTTATGCCTTATACTAAAATGTGTTAGTCTTAAAAAGGTGCTACCAGACTCTTTCTGATTTTGGGAACAATTTAGTATCATAAGAGTTCTGTATTTGCAGTGACTCTAATGTGTGGTGCAAGATACAGGTAGTCCTCGTTTAGCGACTGTTTTGTTTAGCGACCACTCGCAGTTACAACAGTGATGAAAAAGTAACTTTGTGACCAATCCTTGCATTTACAGCCTTCACAGCTCTGTAAAGCAAAGGAAAGCTGAAGAAAGATCGTAAGTACAGTTGCGGTTTCACTTAGTAACCGCTTTGCTTAATGAGCGAGTTGCCAGTCCCAATTGTGGTCACTAAATGAGGACTACCTGTAATCCTTGTTGCATTTAATTAAGTCATGTCACACCTTCTTTTCAGGCACTCAAAGCCATTGTCAACCGAGATAAACCGATTACTAAAAACAGCCCTTGGAGCAGGAGCAAATACACTGTGCGTGCCAAAGTGGTGAGGTTCAGTCCCATCCCATACAGTTACAGTTAGATTCATTCTGTGCATCTACTGCAGAAGATTTGAGCCCCATGCATCTGTAGTTATACCAGCTACCTAGTGTGATCCACGGGATCAAATCTAAGACCGTCTGCATGTGAATAGTCTTCTCTATTTCTGAATAACGCCCCCCTCAACTTTGCCCAGGACCTTAACACATCAGATGAAGTCTATAGAATAAGATTGAAATTATTTTCATTTCCTGTGTCTCCCCTCCTAGTACTTTTGATCTGTGCATACATTATATACACACACGCACACATATATAAAAATCTGTTCTTGATCACAAGAGGATGGTAATCAGTTCATCCAGCTAACGATTGACTGAATGGCCGCAATGCTACCTCTAGTTTATTTGACTATACAGCTTCCTGAAGGAGTGACCCTAGGCAGCTAGTGGTAACTTCCAGGAACTGCCCAAACTTCCTGTTCTTTTCCAGATACTCCGGACGGGATTCCTGATCCAACTGGCGTGGTGAACACAAATGAAGCTTTCTGCACAGTGATTCGGTCCCGCCTGGGTAATCACTCACTTCTTTTCTCTGGAGAGGTAGATTGTACTGATCCCCGGAGCCCTTGGCCAGATCCACCAAGTTGTTACGTGGAGCTGAAGACTAGCAAAGTCATGCACAGCCCTGCTCAGAGGAGAAGTTTTTACAGGTGAGGAAGGAGCAGTCAAAATGGTGTTGGAAGCTTTCTCCTTGCCACTTGCATCTGTCCCCCAGCCACCTCTCCTGCTGCTGGCTCCTAGGCTGGGGGAGGAAAGTGACAATTACTTTGGAGAGAAAGAGATTTCAAGAGCTGTTCGTGTAGCCCTCCCACAGCTCCCAGCCCCAGGCTGCTGGTGCAATCGCATTGCTTTTGATGTGTAGAAGACCAAACAGCTTAACTTTCTTGCAATCCCCGATCGATCTACTCTGCAAGAGGGGAAAAAAAGAAAAAAGAAACAGGTCAGGCACAGGACAATGCGTTCTGACTGCAATGGTGATCCTGTGACTGAGGGACGCTGTGAAGGTCGTAAATGGACCATGAAGTTATTTTTTCAGCAATGTCGTAACTTCAAATGGTCTCTGAATGAATGGTCAGTAAGTGAGGACTATCTGTAACTGGCACCATTAACTGCATGTTTGGCATGTTGTCATGCCCTTGGCAGTGGAAGTTTCTTCGGTATGCCATGGCTTAGCATAATGTGTGAACACAGAGTCTTAGTGCCACCAGCCTCCATTTAGATCACTAAAGAGAAATATGGCAATGCTTCAGGAACAGCCCATCATTCCTCAGAAACATTGGCTTGTGAAGCTTCCTCCATAAGATGATCCATAAGGGTAGCAAAACTTGGTGGACTGAAAGAAGTTTGAGTGGAGCAGAAAAAAGGAACCAGGAATAAGTCAACATCTCTGCATTATGCTGTGCCTCAGTTGGTAGTCAGTAAGCCAACAACAGGTTGTAGTTCCAAATTCTGGTGTATTGCCCAAAATCAAACCATAGATGATTAATTGACCCATTTGCTCATCATGCCAAGAAAACAAAGCACTTTCCAGCTTACTGGGTAGCGTTCTAAATACAGATTTAGGTTAGTTACAGTCATCTGTCTCTTTTCTTTTCAGGCACAAGCTAATTAAGTGGTGGGCCCAGTCTTTCCTTCCAGGAGTGTCCCGGATTGTGGCAGGATATCGAGGGCCAGATGGCTCAGTTGTGGGGCTGGAAAGTTTTGAGACTATGAAAATATTCCAACTCATTCGGGTAAGTTTAACCTCAGGAAAGGCCTGCCCCTTTGGGATCTCAACAGGGGCACCCTCGACAGGGTCCAGAACATCAAGATGGCAGCTGCAACCATGCAGTTGAAGCCCTGCCACATTTTCACACATATTGCACACCCCTGAATTTCAAGTTGCCTGATACAAACCTTCTCTGGATGCAGTTGACTTTGATTCTGCTAAGCATCTTAAGAATGTTGGTAGATCTTTGGGGTTTTGTTGTGTTATGTTCTTATTGGATTTTGTTCCCGGTCATTCCCTTTTTCCCTTGCTGCTGTTTTTAACCATTGTTTCCTCTGAATGAAAAAAAAATCACCTGCACACATTCAAAGGACATCATCTACTCTGTAGTCTAAAACTATAAGACAAAAAGGGCCATAGGAACTACGACCCACTCTCAAGTTGGAATGGGTGGGGTGCAGCTAAAGCAGTGAAAATTAGATATGGATCCAGTTGGCTATTTGGAAAGATAAAGTCACTCAGGAGTAAAGTTGTAGAATGGGTCAGTTACATTATCTCAGCCATCCAACTTGGGGAGATAATATAGCTGGATTACGCTGCAATCCTGTTGTAAGAAATGTTAAGATACTGCCCTAAGCCAGGTCTTTCTACGTATTGTTGCCTACAGATAGGAAACCTGTTGCTGCACCATAACTTCTAGCAATCCCATCATAAAAGATGCTGAGAACTGGAGGGCCTTGACTTCTCCATCTGTTGTAACCCACAGCGAAATTGGAAATTAGCCTTGGATCTGAGCGTCTCTCTTTTCAGTGGTCATCTTCAGCACAAAAATGTGGGATTGTATGAAGACAAAGTTTCCTCACTCCTAAACTGGGGATTTTTCACTGAACAAACCAAAAGAAATAAACTGGACCATCCACAGCTTCATAAATTATCCCTTGTGGAAACTTAAATGCTCTAAATTAGTTATTATCTGTCAAAATGTCATATTCATACAAACTTGATATCCTTCTTAAATAACTTGAGAATGCTTGCTTTCCTCTAGCGTGTCCTCTTTAGAGAGAATGTTTCCGTTTCTGTGAAGTTACATGTTCTTGTTTTCTCCAGTACTTTTCCTTTGGGGCTGCCCTTCCCATCCTCCAATTTGATCCTTCAGTCTAAGGGTTAGAGCGTTTCTTTTGCTTTTGAAGTGGGTCACTTGCAACTTCCTTGATGGCCAAAACTGAAACTATCATTGCTGTTCCGATCAAGGAAGGATCATTTGTTCATAGAACAGATTAACCTTGGATACCAGCAAGATTACTTCTTTTAAAGGCTTGAAATGAAAAGATATATACGTGGTTGCATGTATGCCCCAAACCAAAAGTCCTGGTTGGATTAATTCTAAGTCAGTCAGTCAGTCAGTCAGTCAGTCAGTCAGTCAGTCAGTCATTCATTCATTCATTCATTCATTCATTCATTCATTCATTCATTCATTCATT